TAACTTCAAAGAGTAGAACATACAATTCGAAACCAACACACATTAAACACTTGAAGCAACCAATTATTTTTCCTTCATTGTCTTCCACTTCACTAAAATGAAATGAGACCCCAGGTTAGTGCAAACGTGCTTGTTGTTTATTGGTTCAAGTTCTCTCTCAGGTTGAAATCAATATAATCCTAGGGTTGAAAGGGGGATTAAAAAGGTATGCTAGAGAAAAATGGCAGAGGCACAGGCTCTAGGTTTAAAGGATTTCTCACTGTTTGGTTGGACTATTTTCAACTCCCTGATATCTTGTCTTCACTGGTCAGTGGTGCAGGTATATGATGTTAGTCAGGATGGAAGCTACAGGAATCAAGATGAATATCTTAGCTTCTGCACCGGCTGTGTGTCACAAATTTCAGGGAGTTTCTCGCAGTTCTCTAAAGCTTCCCTTTTTTTTACGCTGACTTTTAGTGTAATATTGTGTCAGTAAAAGCAATATAACATGTTGTGGCGGAGCAATAATACAAATACAACATATGATCTTATGCTGTCGGTCCTGAACATGATCAAGCCTTCAGGCGATTTTTACCCCAAGAGTCTACGCAATACCTTTTTTGTGGTTAGACCTTAAGCTAATTAAACATTTTTTATCCTATTATGAGCATGAAATGTAACCGGCATTTAATCTACACCGAACAAGAACAACAATCCAACTGACGAGAGACGAAGACCAATTGAATGCATACAGAGGGAAAGACACTGAAGAAGACAAATGTTTCCTGAATAGATGGATGGAGATGTAACATTCCATTACATGCCCTTCACATACTAGACACAAAAACAGTTTCCTCCCACAGGACGTCTCCCTTATGAACAATTAACCGGTGATACTGCACCTCCGTTTGCACTGTGTCCCAATATCACTGCTGCTGTACCTGTCTTCAGTTATGTGCATGTAAATATTGTATATACATATATATGTACATGCATACAAAAAATATATTAGACATCCACCAGAACTCAGATATATCTCATCCTTTTTGCTTTCATGAAAGCCAACACATGCATTTAGCCACTCTAAATACTCGGTTCGCGGTTCCATTCACTTCTGACATAGAGTTTTTTTAACCTGACTTCAAATAATAAATGATGTAAGCCAATACACAAAACAAATTTCCGACATGCCCCCTCCCCCGTGTATGGACAGATCATATATGGCCCCCCTGTGGTTCTTCTAATGCCGAGAAAACTTGTCTTGCAATCTATAACTAAACATGTCATTACCGGCCGTAACTAACAACACAATGAAGAATAATCCATGAATTGACTGAATCAGTCATGTAATGTGTACAATGTGCACAATATTTCTACTTACACACGTCCAAAGTAAGACAAATATTCATGATTGAACACATGATTTAACATATGGCAACTGTAGTAATTAAAACAATGTACTATTTGGGTTTTCAATGCATTTGGAGGATGCTCAATCAATAATCATTGTGTTTGTTTGTGAAATGATGGAATGAGGAAATAAGATCCGTAACCATATCATCTTGTTGTCATTTTTAATGGTCACTTGGAAATGCAGTGAAATATATCACTTGCACAAAAGCTGTTGAGGTTTGCACAGCCTGATTGTTGCTGAAATAACTGACTCGTGACTCAGGGGCTTGGTTCATAAAGACAATCATTTGAACTGTATTCTCTGACGACGGAGAGGTCGATGTCGTTAAAAGGCTGCAATATACATGCATGAGATCGGATTGAAATTAGTCAAACCGTTGGTTGGACTCCAGGTGAGGTTTGAGTTGCCCGGCAACAGAGCGTTAAAGTATTTCAGGCAGGCAGGGAAGATTTGCGATGGGCCTGTAGGTGTTGATGATGTCAGGATCACGACCAGGCTTGGCAGCGCAATAAAAGCCTCTTTGGGATTTTTTTTAACACTTCATGTTCAAGCAGGATTTTACTACACCAGCGTTTACAAAGGAAAGCCATCATCCTGTGTGCTGTATTAAGCTGAGGGATTTGATGGTCGGTAAACTTCATTAAGGCGTCGCTGTTGTTTACTCTCCACTACACCCCCTCTTTTAGAAGAAAGTTCCCTAACAACTCCATCTTTTGTCCGACCGCACTGCAGCTGCTCTTCCCTGTGCACGCTGAACACATAGAGACATTCAGGCCTCCGTGGGTCATTGAAACAAATCGGCTCCAGCGTCAATGTTATAGGCAAGAGTATAGCAAACACCCACAAACGCTGCGTTCTGTCCTGTCTGTTATGTTATAGAAACGAATAGAGAGGCCACCTGTATATAGGTAGAGTATATTATAATATGTCATTGCAGTAGTCTGTTAAGGTGCTTCTTCTCCAGTGCTTTGCAACCTTGCACACATCGCACGTGGGTTTGAACTATTTCAAACTTATAAATGCTATTTCTGTGCATTTTTGTCATAACATGGTTACACACACTGGTAACCCGGCAGGAGGGACACAGCACTGCGGAGCATGACGCACCGTTTTGTTTGATGCCCCGCTTCTATTTATTCACGTTGCTCACTTCAAAAGCGGCACAATAGATGAGCAACTGTTGATTCGGGAAGTTGAAACGAGGAGTCGTCCGTACGATACCACCTCGTTTCACAACAGAACCTGCGGTGGCAGCGAGGTTGCCTGAGAGCTGAAAGTTTCCCTCTGGCTGTTGGCTCCATTATATGTGAAATTGACCGAATATCACAATGTAAAGGGTTCCCATTTTAAAAAGTACAAATGTCAAGTATCACCGTTACTCTTACGTCTCCACTCTGATCTCAAACACAGCTGATATGCACTTGGTTTGTTTCCATGACATAATCAATTAGTAACATGGTATATCCGAGGCAGTCTCTTGGGCCATCATTACAGTTGTCGTTGTTATAATTATTGCCGTTCAGCTTCACATAACTTTTACATTTTTATGATCAATCACTAAAAGTGCCATTGTGGGATTCGAGTCAGTGAGTGTAAGGAGCTGCGGTTAAACGCTTTTTTCCCCCACAATCGAATAATCCTTTTTATATGAAACCGGCGCTCCTCGAGAAACAGCACAACCTGAAAATGTGCCAATCATCTATAACTAAGAAAACAATGGATTGGGTTGTTTTGTTAATAAAAAAACTGCGGTGGCGGTTCAACCTCTCCCAAGCAAGAAACTCCCAAGCAAGCAAGAAACTTGCTTGGGAGAGGATTTTTTTAAACTTTTATTCCTTTATTTTTTTAAATATATAGCCTTATATACTAACCTATAGCATTATATTTTATTTTATGTTATTTTATTCCTCTTGCATGTCTTATCTGTCTTGTTGTTCATTGTCTAAGGCTGCTATGCACCAATCGCCAAGTGAAATTCCTTGTATGTCTGACATATTTTGGTAATAAATGTTTCCTGATTCCTGATCCTGAAGAGCCGACCACATAATAAATGGCCCAAATACATTTTTAACCAAGAATGGCTGGTCTAATTGACAATTATTGCAAAGAGAGAGAAATAAAAGAAATTGATGGTAACCAATTTGATCTGGAGACCAAAATAAGCTTTTGCAACCTAACATGAAAACACACACCTCTGAGCCAACGTTCTGCTGGCTATTAAGTTAAGTTAGTTGGATGCCCGATATAATGATGGACTGGATAGTGTTGTGTACGTCCAGGATGAGTCATACAAACTATTACAGTAGTTTAGAAAGACAAACGAGAGAAATATAAATGCTGTTTTCCATATATATTTGACCTTTAAACAACAAAACGAGTTGACAGAGGATAAGAACTTAAATCTTTCATTTTACTGTCAGTAAATTCAGATTTTTTACTAAACTCTTATACACATTTAAATCATTTTTAAAGGTGGTATAAGGTTGTATTTTCTGCAGTCTGGCAAAGCGTAACTAGAGCTCTTTCTCCTCCTTCTCACAGCGACTCAGTCATGTTTCCACTTTAACATTGAAGTCTCTACCTAAACGGCAGAAGAAGTCTTCTATGTTAGGAATTCTATGAAATATGAAAAAAATATATAAATATCCCATTCGTCTTTGAGCTGAACGAGTTCTCATTCAAATTCTCTGCTCAAAACTTGACATTCCCCGCTGTGCACTTGTGCCCTATTACAAGTCCCCGTTTAGCCCAGCAGGAGAGAACATTCCCGTGAATAAAATTTTTTCATGAAAGAAAACGTTGATAGAAGAATGACAAATAAAGCAGCCTCTTATCTGAGGGCCCAACGTCTGTCGATGGAACAGATGCTTTTAAAACGAAACACAGCACCAGCTGTGACCTCTCTTTAAATAGACTAGACCACCCAACACACCTATTCCTGTAATCCTGCAGACTTACAAGCACAACATTCTGACATGAGTCCTATTTTTACTTCTTCATATCAGGTCATTTTGAACACAAACATTTTAACATATTTTACTACAGTCACATCCTGTATGTTCCGCGTGCTTTGGCAAAAAATAACCAACATGATGTATGCAAAAAAAAGAAAGAAACTCAAGCATCGTAATGTTAAATAAAGTAAAAATCTCTACATCAAATGATGAAAAGCATTTGTTTGAACAGAAACGTCAGCCATATTTGTTGTATCCAGTTACAGTTGAGTTACTTCCTGTAGTGTGAAAGGGTTGTCTGCATCTTTTTTATTTTAAAACTCATTTTATACTACCATGTGTTTTTACAAACAATGCAGCTCAAAATATCTCGTTCATAAACTGCTCAATTTAAACCTTTTTAAAGTAATGCAGTATATATATTATTCGCTCGGTTCAGCCGCCTAATAACACGCAACACTGTGTAACGCCAAAAAAAAAGTGTTGAGCTGAAAATTGAACCTGCAAATGTCTCATTATTATTTGTTCCCTATACCCACCACACCCATTAGACCTGCTTCACCATATTGAGGAGCCAAACACAAAGGCAAAGGTTATATTTTAAGAAAATTGGTCCAATGGGGAATAGAAGAACAGCAGCATCTCAGACTCACCAATGTACAGGTTCCACTCCGGATCCAGATCAGCTTGATTGGCCAGGCAGCCCTTCACAACATTCAGGCAGTAGTTCCTACAGGATTTGAGGGCCGGCATGCCCTGACAAAAGGGGCAGTACAGCATCTTGGTCAGGGCCCGGATGCATGCCGGGGTGCTGCTCACCTGCAAGAACACAAGAGCGTGACGGCGCAACTTGAAAAATGAGTCATCCAAAAGATACAAATGATCAGGACACAATTGCAGTTTGTTATTTATTTTTAAAAAAGGTTCAAGATTCATTTTAGTGTTGAAATTTAGAAACACCACGAGAGGTACGAGAGAGATGTTTTGCTGACCGAAGGCTTTTGAGCTCTACTGAGCCCCGTCGATGACTGTGTGTGTGATCATTAGCCTGCATCTCTATGCTGTCAAGCATTCTGCATCGCAGCTATTCATCCTTCCTCCTCTTCATGTACAAAGATGAGATGCATTGTGACGGGTGGAGTTGGAAGAGGGCGGTGAGGAGCCATCACACAAAGCAGGCATTACAAAGCCCCACAACAACAAATGCCACAGACGAGGTGAGGATGCAATTCACTGACACAATATGTCTTGTTTGTTTTCAAAGATTATCACTGCGATGACATTCTATAATTCATCGCTATCATCATAATATGTTAGAGGGTGGAATTTTAAATATTTGAACTAATGAGCCACAATTGAATTAAACAAATATTTGCAGGGAGCGGAAACTAGCAGCATAATGAGTCCGTTCAGCCATGTGTTGTGGCACTAATTGAGTGTTTGAATGTGTTTAATAGAATGTTGATGTTAGTCGCTCCCCCCCCACACACACACACACACACTCACTGATGCTTTTCAAATGTTTTCCTTGATGGATATTCATTCCAGGCAGATTGATTACCATCACACAGATCTGGATACTCTTGTCTTTATAACCATTTTTTTAAACTCTATGACAGCAAACATAACCGTGACTGCATGACCTAGTAAAGATGTTGGACTTTGCTGCATTGAACACTGTTATTCTTACCAGCGGAGCCCAGTGAAGATGTTTGGAATGGAAGCTGCTGTCTCGGCTGTTGGACTTTCTTTGTTCCATAAAGCCCCACGAAGCATCTTATTAAACATCTTTCGGGCTGAAAACCCACTTTTTAGGGCTGCAAAACTCGGACATTCTTTTGCAAGGCCTCATTTTCTGCCTGTCTTGTGTTTGAGACTCTTTTATTGTAGTCCTTTCTGTTTTTTTTCTTTTTAAAGGGGAGCTTCAAATTGAAAAATACTTTTACAGACAAATACACTCATTGTAAATCAGCTTTTTCAAAAGCTTCTGCTAAAAGGAATGTAATGTAAAGACCCTGAAGAGGACAAACAACTTATTTTTTTCTTTGCCTAATTGGTATCCCAGATGAAAACTCAATATATCCGCATTGTTGCTGCAGTATGAACAATGTTATTTTATCTGTATGATGATGCAAGGCTTCCATTCCTGTTAATTGCGTTTAAAGCAGACAGACTTTCCTCTAAGAGCAGAGAAAAAAAGATGCTCAGGTGTAGAATAGCCTTATACTAGAAATCTAGAGAGAGAAATCTCAGTCGACTAAGACCTAAAGGACACCAATTACATCCTATCAAAAATATGAACTCGCCATGAATACATAGTGCAATGTTTGTGTCACCTTCCAAACATATTTAGTTTTACGTTCTTCCAATGAATAATAGCGAACACTAGTTACAATAGAAGTGAACATGTAAATTAAATTACATGTAAACTTAAATTAAGTGACAGATAGACTTAAGGATTCCTCTTGTGGAAATGCAAAGACGTTTATTTTTACAAAGTCGATGCAGCATGAACCAGACTTGTCAGCACGACATGTGTGTACATTTGTTTCTGTCAAATCCACTGTCCATCTTACTACTGTTCACTTTACTGGGCTGTTAGTCAGAGTATTTAGATTCTCAATGACAAGGACGGAAAGCCATATGGTTTTAATCACAGCAGATGAACAGAAGCAGATGTGCTCTTCGGTTAATGATCTGAGATAAGCATGAGAATCGTTTGTCATATACAGACTACAAATCCAAGTTTTCTGCTCCCTCAAAGCTGCTTTTTTTCTGATTTGTCTCTGAAGCTGTGAAAAGCAATCAAGTCCTGCATCGTCGACTTTAATTCAATATATATCCCAGCAGCAATAAGCATTGATGTCACATCTCAGGGACGCCGTGCAACAGACACCTCAAGCAGGGTGTCCCATTCCATTATGCTCACACCCAATCTGTCATGATACGTTTATACCCCTGGGATCAAAGGGCTGTAGTCCCAGACACATGGCCTGGATCTCAGGTCCTACTCAAATGTCAAGAGGTGAAGCCGGGACACGCTGGCTCGTGAGGGGAGAGCAAAGCATAAAAACGCACGCCAACAACACATCCTCTGTGGCTGCTTCTTAATGAGCCTCACCGCTGGTGAGAGGGGGCAATAAACATACTGAAGGGAACATGCTCAAGTTCCATGAGGGCACCATATTGGGGCTACCAGAAAACAGGTTTGGGATTTCTCAGATAACAGCAGGGTGTTTTTCTCCGTCTCTGACCATTGACCGAAGACGCCATCTAGAAACGGTACCAACGTTAATAAATCCAAACATTATCCTCTTGATTTTCCTTTAGCCTTACTTTGTACATAGATGGAAACTACATAAACCATAGCTATTATATATAAAGACTCGTCCGCATTGCCGGCCAACAGAGTCGAACCTCCGCACATGGCGGCCATCTTGGGAGGGGGGGGCTCGCTCATCCATACCATTGTGTTGGTAGTGATACATGTACTTTAAATAGTAATAACTTGCTTAATTTTCAACCGATTTTTAAACGGTTTGGTTTGTTATAAACGTCAGAGATGTAGGGACGTTTGCATGCATATGAATAATTATGTTATGTTCGAAAAAATATTATAATGTTCTAAAATAGGTCCAAGATTATCCTTCAAGAAATGCTGCATGTTGAAATCCCCACCCTGTACAGGGATATATTTATGACCCTGCATACTTATGAATAATTATGATTATAGCCATGGGTTTTCATACAAAAATGATATTAGACAGAACATTATTCATAAGTATGAAGTGTCATAAATACATCTCTGACGTTTATAACAAACCAAAGCGTTTAAAAATCGGTTGAAAATTGAGCAAGCGAGCTCCCCTCTACCAAGATGGCCTCCATGTGCAGACGTTCTATACTCTGCCTTTATATATAATATCTATGACATAAACCCCCAGAGCACAACAGATGCAGCATTAAGCTCACATTGCATCAGAATACTGAGGCTATATCATGATTCATGGCTTCTGTATACTGGGGGAACAGATTTTAGGAAACAAGCAATACAAGGAGATGGCAAATTATTTATTTTCTCTTCTCCTTCATTGTCGGCGCATTTCTACTGAGCAATACACATACTGACGTCCGTCAACACCGTTTTCAAGAAAGCATCTAGAAACAAGGTACCTCGATCCTCGAGTCTCAAGCTTCCTGAAGACTTGTACCAAGAAAGCACAAATTGCTCCGAAAAGTATCCGGTAGGGACTCGTTTGCAACGGAAATACCAGAGGGAAGTGTGCCCTTGCAGCAGAAAAGCCAAACATAACCGTGGGAAAAACTGTGTGATACAGGATGCCAGTGCAATTAAAAAGAAAACAAGGTTTTGTTTAGGGTCGGAAAAGAAGTCAGCGGTTGCAATAATGTGGAGAGAGCACTGTTACCTTAGACACTCGCTGGGCAACCTCCCGGCCAACAGAGAGGCCTTGGACGAACGTGCGCGCGGCAATGAACGCGCGGGTAACCTGAGCCTTCAGCTTCCTGGGCACGTCTCCAAAGGGCTTGAGCTGGTCAGTGTACTTACTAATACACTCCAGATAGTCCTCAGTGATGACGTACTGGGAGTTGAGCAGCGTGAACATGCGCTCCAGTAGCCGCGACCAAAAGTCATTAAGCATTTCCTCCAGGTTGACGTTCCCTCCCATGTAGTAGCGCTTCAGCTCTGCAAACAGGTTCTCAAAGACCTCGGAGTTCTGCATGTAAGGCTTGCCGTACGTCCTCACGAACATCTCGTTCAGGGACCGCTGGGTGTTCTCCAGTAGCTCCAGGAAGAATTCTGGGTAAAGGACAAAAAAGGAATTCATTTTCTTTCACGTGTGAATGTGTTGGTAAAGATGTTAGAGTACACGGCATACGTTGATAAGATACTTATCAATGTGTGAGCCGTGTCTGATTGCAAGATGGAACACAGATTCAAAAGGATGTGTACTTGATTGCCATGCCGACACCAAATATACCAGCAACCAGAAAATACCAAATAGCATTCTATTTAGTAATTTCCTCTTCGATTCTTGATTTAATTTCGAAGAGACTTCACAGCTTTGTTGGTTTTTATCTCGAGTTCACCATTTTCAACATCAGTGAGAGTCTCGTATATATTTCTGGAAAGCAATATGTGTTTTGTTTGCGGTGCAAGAGGTTTGTTTTGTGTGAACAGAAGCTGTGAACCCAAAATACATTTGTGTACCATGATGGAAGCGCTGTATATTGCAGAATGACTTCCTGTACACTGTTTCGCAATGCTACTCCATATGGCGGAAGCACAAGGCTTGCTGGCTGATGATTATCCTCATTATGGATTTGATTACGATTCCACGATTGGCCTGTTTTTGTTTGCAGCATCTCCATTTGCCTTTATAGACACCGCTTACTTTTTGCCTCATGACCTGTATGACTCACCGCAAACTGGGATGAGATGATAATATTCCTTACCACCTGGTATTCATAATGATGGTCCTCGCTTTCAAGGGCCAGGATTGAAATGTAAATAGCCTTCAAGCCTCCACATATTTTACTGCTAAGTGAAATAGTTCATGACAGAGGAGACTCAACTCCCATAAAAGGTGGTGGAGGTTACAGATTATTAATATTTTAACTGTACAGTTCATTGTCTATTATAGAGCAACAACCCACATAAGTGTCAAAGCAGGATTCCTTCTAGATGTTTGGTCATTTGGAAAAGAGTGGAAACCTGTAAGTGATGTTGACAAATGATCACCTCATGAAGTATGTGACAAACTTCTAGCAAAACAGTCGCATCTTTACACTCATCTACCACCCAGAAAAGGATCTCTCTGGGTGTGTTTCTGGAAAATAAATTGGGTCCAATATTGCTTCTTGTTTCGATTTTGTTTGGGTCTCTGAAAACTCCTCAAGGAAACACAGTGTTGAATACTGACCAGCCAGTTGGAATCTGTTAAATCTGCTGATTGGTTCTGAGAAACTAGTGCACAGCGGGTTTATCTGAGATTTTCTTTTCATTTTAAAGAGCACCTGCTGCATCTAGAACAGGGGGGTTGAGAGAAGAGAGACTAAAATAAAACAGCAAAATTGGCGCCTGCAAAACCAAAACAATGAGCCAAAAAAACGTTTGTATCTACTACTGCTCCTTAATAAAGCAGAACAATTTATCAGATTCCACAATGAATTGATGGAATACAATTGTTTCAATTCTCTATTTCTGAAATAATTGATAGCTGCAGCCAAAGAAAAACATGTATTATTCTTACACAGAATATGTAGCCGGCATAGTTCTGGATTGCTTTTTAACGCATCACAAACTGTATACTAATGGATTTAAAGTGGTCGTTAGCGCTCAGCAATGTAGGAAAAGAGAAAAAAATCAAGACACTGCAAAAACACAATGGAATGAATCTCCACAATACTACTTTGAATCACATCTGGTTAGCCACCATCAAAGGCTCAGAAAAAATGTAGCAAAAAGAAGCAGAAAAGTAAATTGTGAAAATTAAGCCTCATTTGCAAGACAGCAGCACGCAAGTTATTTCATAATGTGCACCCGATTGTGACGAATGTATTTATAGCTGCAAGCAGCATCTGCTATAACTCACTTGATGTTAGCTCGGAGGGTAAATGTCATATTTAAATGCTATATTCCAGTTCTTTATTCCTTCTAAAACAGCCTCTGATTCATTTCATGCCGACTGATCTATTCCGAGTGTGAGTGTTAATTGTAGGCTGTTCTAAGCATTTTAAGGAGATCTGATTAAATCAGCTTTACCTTCACACAGATCATGATATGAGGGTAACAAATAACTTTCAGCAACACTCACAGTGCGAAGGACATGTGATGTTGAAAAAGTAGATCTAAATACTATAATAGATGAAAAACTACAGTGAGCAGTTATTTAAATAGATAAAGCTCCAAGCTTGATCTGTGCTCGTTGTTTGTAACAAATATAGTTAGTTGTGTTGAACAATCTGTATGTTAAATAATTAAAAATGAAAAAAGTGTGAAATGAAGAAAAAAAATCTTATTGCAGTCAGATTATTTGATATAACCACTGACTGATTCCGACATCCCACCGGTCCCTTTCTTTCACACTCCACACGTCACTTTCTGTTCGCTGGTGCACTTTATTTTCAACTTTTAAATATTTGTAACTTTTAACTTTTATTCTCTTTATTTTTAAACTAACCCATACCATTATATATATATATATTTTTCCTCTTGCACTGTTGTCTTGTCGTCCATTGTCGTACTGTCTGCTTGTCACGGTGTGGTTCACTGCATGTTATATTTTGTAGTTTTCTGCCACTTGTGTCCCCGGGTAACTTCACTTCCTGCCTTGTCCCGTTGTCCCCTGTGATTGTCTAATAGTTTCCACCTGTGTCCAATCACCTGCACCTCCCTTGTGTATTTAAGCCGTGTGTCTCCTGTGTCACTTGTCGCGTCATTGTCTTTCGCCACGCATGTCTTTCGTCTTGGATCGCCGTAGTTTCTTGCCTGTCTGTTTTTGCCCCCGGTTCCTGTGTTTTTGACCCTTTTTGACTATTAAAGTCTTTTTGTTTTCGACAAGTCTGCGTTTGAGTCCTGCCTTCCACCCTCACCCCTGACACTGCTGTTATGCACCGAACGCCAATTCAAATTCCTTGAATGTCTGACATATTATGGCAATAAATGTTTCCAGATTCCTGATTCTAAGCTCTGTTTTAGATTGATTACATAATTATATTTCAAGTTAATATACTAAGTTGAAAAAAAGACAACTTAATCAAATTGTATGAAGGCATAACACAGTAAAACCTTTTGGTGAAATGTCAAAAACCAAAGTTATCAGGAAAGCGCGCATAAAATGTCTTAGTAATTAAGATGTCTGTCCAAATGTACTGTATGTCCTCAAGAGCTGCAAGCAGAGGATAATGACGCTGAATTGCTGGAAAGGGGAGATTCTAACACTCCCGACATGTAGAGAGTTCATTACCTTTGGCTGATAAAGCTCAGTGTGGCTCACTGAGCCCATGTCACCGTGCAGGGTCCCACAGATCCATTCTCCCTGTGACAAAGGCCACGTCTACTGCAGTGCATCCATTACTGCTTGCTCTCACAGAAAGTTGATGCATTTCCCCCTTGATGTCAACAGTGTCAGTGATGTCAGCGATGTCATTAGGAGTCTCAATCCCAGCAATCTTGAAACAGAGTGTGACTATTTCATATTTTTGAGCTAGATGACGGCGAAGAGAAAACCTCAGTCTTAAGAGACAATAGAAACTGTGGAATGTATTACACAGTAGCCGTGGATGGGATGACATCGAGGACCCTCGTGCTAAGTGTACTTGTAGAATAAATTACTACAAAGTCTCTTGAACTGGGATCAGCTGTAACTTTGCAGGATGAAAAGTTTTTTTCACCAGAACTCACTTTTCTTCAGATGAGAAATCACAATCTAAGAATTCAAAAATCTTTAATTACCGCCTAAGATTTGCATCTGTCAACCAGTAAAGCGGTTTGCGTCAAAAAGGTTGAAAAAAGTGTGTATGTTTGCACCATATTCAATTTTATTCTTAAAAAAATAAGAGTCAATAAGAGGTTGTTCTGTGTGTTAGCTCCTGTGCAAATATATATTAAAGTAAAATCTAAGAAAGGTTCAATAATTTGTTCCATTCCTGATTGGGGAACATTATCAAAACTATCTGTAATCTGTCTGTGAACCTACTGGGAGTGAACTGGCAAAACTGACTTGTTCGGCGGCTACGCAGCAACAAAATGTGCCTTCTCCACAGGCCTGTGGACATTCAAAGAGGGAGAAGAACTCTCCCTCTGTGATTATCGACACTGAAGTGTACGTGTCAGCCGGTTGTAGAATATGGATTTGGTCTGACAAGAGGCACCATAGAGCTGCTCTAAGTGCGATGCTTCAGTAGATAACGGAACCTCCCCATTTGCACGTTTTAATCCTTGAAGCTTATTGTGAGTCACACAGTGGCAGTAAAAAGCAGAGCATTCCAATGTAAACCTCGCACTGCTAAATAGTTGTATACAAGATAGCTAATATATATTGTTTGAAAGTTAACATATCCAAAGGTTTATGTTGTAGAAGAGCTCTTTATACATTTGATAGAGTGCGGTTCCACGAGTGAAATTGTATGTATTTCCATAAAACGTTGCAGTTTGTCCGTCAGTAATCCTACGCAGAGTGAATACTAAAAACCCAGTAAGGTACAGAGGTGCCGTGGCATTTATACCTGAATCCTACCATTCGAGACTCTGAATGGTCCAAGAGGACCCCCTAACTAAAGGAGGGCCTTGCTGAGCCAGCACGCCCTTTTCATCACTGCCCAGATTCGCATTCCTCCAGTCAAACACGTCTCCAGCTGGTAGCTGCCCAGCACACTGCGCACCTCTAAACGATTGGCCGCCTTTTAGGAGTAATTTAGGGTTAAGAGTTTTGTTCAAGAGCACATCAAGACAAGGGCTTCGGCGGGACAAGAGAGAGGACGTGAATATTTGTCGACAGCCGTTGACATGTGACTTGTAAATAGAGCAGATTGTAAAGGCCAATTTTAAAGCAGTGCTTCTGTTCCATTTTGTCCATCGGTACATCGAAAAGAGATCGATTGCGAAGAGTGCACCACATTAACATTCTGTTTGGCTCACAATCGTCATGGTTTTCATGGCCGGCAATTGATTAAACAAGAGCCCACAATAAGTGTTTAACAGGCGTGTGGAATTGGATTCTCTGTGATAGCAATTCATCTCATTCCTCCGGGCAGCTGTTTCCTGCAGTAAGGATATGCATCAATTAGGAAAGAGGCAAAACGTATCCATGCATTTCAATAACTGTGGCTGCGATGGTGCTGTTTCGTTCTTAGATTGACGAGCTTGAAGAGGCCAACACGGGCGGGTTATTGGATATTTCTGTACTTGTGCTGGGAACGATCCTGGCATGGTGGAGACTGTGCCCTCTCACAGTGACACGTAGCCTGTGGTGTCGGGTATGCGTGGGCTGGCCAGCTACTGTCAGCTACAGTAACACTCATCACAAACTCTGCATGGGGAGAGGAGAAGACGTACACCGCCTCTGTGTGGGAGGGACTCCAGGCCCAGGTGCTAAGTAGATGGCAAATAACGTCCAAATGAGCATGCGGCGCTGTCTTGTTTGGGTCTTTAACTAGGTGTTACGACCAAGAATCAAGGCCAGCGTAGTTATCTGGGAAACATCGATTTATGAGGTGAAAGTAACATGAGTTCAGAAAACGCAGAATCTCATAAAACACAAATTATGCTTTTAAAAAATGGACGCATTTATTTCTAGAAAGTACCGGCTGGTGAAATGTCAACTGATTCCTCACGATCGAAACCACACCATCTCAAACCCTCAGTTTCAATTAATGACGCGTAAAGACAAGAGTGGAATCGCGAACCCCCCGCAATCGGCATCTCGGATTTCTCGAGTGGGTGGTGAGCGGGGAACCTCGGCAGACACAAAGTCTCCAGACGGCAGAGGGCTGCAGAGTTGAACTCTGCGTTTGGCGTCTGCTTTTACAGCTGATGAAATTATGGAGAATGGCAGCAAACCCCGGGGGGATCGGGCTTGCCTGGAGTCATGCGTCTAAGTGCAGCTGGACAAACCCCATTTCCTCCTTCACCGGAGTCCTCCGTTCATCGCCCTGACAGGGGCTGATCAAAATAACTCTCATTTATTTATGCACTCTTCCAGGAATCAAAGAGCAGCTACACAAGTGTATACAGTGTTCCTGGAAAAGAAAAACAGACAGATATCACCCACCCGCAGATATCATTGAGTTTCTGGACAATGTGCAGTCATCTGAGAGTTGCGTGCAGTAAATTAATGGTATTTGTGTCATGTAACATGTCGGATAGGTTGAAAAAAATGAGCACAGGAATAAAAGTCATTGACTTTTGAGTATTCAATTGCACTATTAATCACTTAAGCAATATTCCGTTTTTGACATTGGATATGTTTAGCTATTTAGCCTGATATGAAAACCTTTGGCTCCTTACTTATGGAAAAAGATGATGAAATATTTTGGTGTTGTTCAATCCAGATATCTGAGGTGATTTTCATGACTACATAATGGATCTTAGCTAATTTTTTATAGTGTTTTATTATCCAACCAGATACGATGTAACTGTGGTATATCGTGGAAAAGTATTACATATGAGTTGGAATCATAAGAGATATATTGCATTGAAAGACAAGCTTCTAAAGAAAAGAAACAACTACCGTAAATTAAAGATGTGCAGGTTGTCCAATACTAACGGACCAGAACCATTACAAATCAAAGATTAATAAGATAGCTGATTTAAAATAGAGTAATCGCAGAAGGATTCTGGATTTGTTAATAACACTTATTTGACACAAACTTATATAGGATATAGGATATATGTTATTTTATTTCCTTTATCTAGTGTAAACTTGATAATAGATGGTAGCTTGTGTATGGGGAGATATTGCCGCTCATTAAGAACAGCGTCCTGCTGAAGCCTCAGTACAGATACAGATACAATAACCTCTTTTAACTGCTGTTTCCTTTGGCTTTTTAAGACATAACTTGTGGTTTCTACATTTATCTTTTAGCAACTAAAGCTTTAGCAACTAAAGCACGCCGTATCCATTACTTTGGAGAGTGCTATAAAGTATGGGTATACTGTGACTGTTTAACTGCCTATTATTTCAGTAAGAATTTGACGGTTACATGGTTGCAGCTTCAAAATTCCTTCATGATAACCACATTATTATTTATTATTATATTTTAACCTTCATCTTTCCAGGGAAGTCCAAAAGAGAGATAGAATCCCTCTCCGAGGGAATCCAGGCCAAGACAGCAGCAGCATAACAGTTTAATCCAAAAGGAGCAGAACAGCAAATAAAATCAACTAATGAATTAGTGGTTTTGTTCAGTCAAAAGATATGTTTTGTCAGTGTACTTTACCTTAATCCAGCATTTGTTCATTCTATTATGCTTTTAAATTAATGTTTTTCAGTAAGTTTTACCAAGACAATGGTTAAAAATGCATGAGGTTGCCTTTTGTGTAATGTGGCCTCAAAAAGACAACCAACGTTCTATTAATGCATTCCGTATTAATAAGAAAATCCAAGTTTATCATTCAAACTGACACGTTGTTTGCAGAAAACCAAAACAGAAACAATTCATAATTCAGCATGATACACCCAATCCAACAATTTCAAGAAGATGTATTTGAATACAGATAATTCGTATCCCTATAATCAATAGTTTAATTATTTTCTTCCTTCCAACAAGAAAAAATAAAGGTACTCATAAAGAATATTTTTGTGTTTAGTTTAGTAATAGTCTCAATTTTTATGATATTTTATGAACAACATTAGAAGCAGAATGTTTGAGTTCTACCTCAAGAGTGTAAAACAATATAACGTGTGATCTATATCAGCGTTTATTACATATGCTATTTATAATATACAATTTATAATATAAATATTGCATCTCAAATGTGTTGTCTCTCTCATCACACTTAATATACATTTAGAAAATATTAATCCCATATTCTTTTGTTTTCTCTAAAGAAACCCATGGCAGTTTTCCCTGCCATCCACAGTCGTCTATAAAATGTTTCTGAGTAATAACTCTAATTAAAAGGTTTTTATGCTGCATTCACTGCCAACAATACCGACAAGGGGACTTTGCTTGACAATCTTCGTCTCCACGACCCTTCATCATTGTCAACTGTGACACCCTTCTGCTTCCCGCAGTGAATCATGTTGTGAGCCAGAGGGTTCATTGTTTCTCATTACACGTTGCCAACTCTATACAGGGGTACCGAGAGGTATAAGAGACATAGTGAGTCTTTTTTTACTAATAAATACATTCCCTCCCATGTGCGGTGGTCAGGACTGTCACCATAGGGCTATAAGACTTGGATAGAGCAAAGGTGCACCGAAAAGCCGTAGAAATGCAGAGTTTTTCGTCCGTCTGCTGTGGAAGAGGGAATGTTCTCTAATCCAACAAGATGCTACTCCACTTCAAAGCACATAACAAGATTTTAACAGCCTGTCTCTAATAGACGGAGGACAGCTATACAACTGCAAACGGGGACCCATTTCAAATTAACACATAGAGTATGAATCCTATAATTTTCCCTCTTGCTGCATTTTGTTTTAATGTGGCGAGCCATTCAAATTGTTCAAAATAAAATACAACATAGGAAAATTAATCAGGATTAAGCATTAAGCCAAAATAGACTTACCATCAAATCGTTCATGTCTGGAAACAAAAGTGCTTCTTAATTCATGACTCATTTCATCAACAAGATTCTCAAAGTCCTGTTTGCTTTGTTGGCCAAATTTGTCCTCCATTTCCTGGGTGCAACATGTGCTTCCCTGAGGACACACTCGGAGATGTTCACCTGAAAGAGAGAGAAAGAAAAGCGTTTTCGTATCCATACCATTAGTGACATACACAGTCTCCTGGATTGTTTGTTTAACTTGCATTCTGGCATCTGCATAAAATGTGTGATTTCCATCCAAAAAAGTACTCATTTAAAAATACGTGGGCAACTAAAATCCTGAGCCTCACCTCAGCAATTTGGGTGCTTAAAATTACTCAATGATTCAGTAAAACTTTTACAGCGAAAGTTCTCATTTTGGACACAATTATTTGAGCTGCAAACAGTAATTAACTTTAATGTTCTCCCATCCAGCTTTCTATGTTAAGGGGAAAGCATGCGGGATCGTGGTTCCCAGAATCCCACCATCACATCTTAATTAGCAGCATGTGCATGCAAATTGACGGTTCGTGTTTCCTTATCGCCACTCAGTCATTCTAGTGTCTGGATCTTCTCTATTTTTAACACTAGTTTCACAATGTTTTTAAATTGGATGTCAGCTCACTTTAGATGCATAGCAAAGAGATATAGCAACATATCAAATAATTATAGATGACGATAAAGTTAAGTTAAAGTAAAGTCAGTTAATGTTGTTTCTTAAATATGTGCCATGCAATCATAACAAGTTAGTTGAATGTAATCCAGCAACATGTTGCTGGAGACACATTATTATGATTGACAGATTATGTAAAAGCATTCCTGTTTTCTTGATGTTGGTATTGTTACCTCAGACTACCAGGCTTCTCAAATGCAAATTCACACATAGCGTCTGCCAAATGTTGTGGCCCTTGAGGCTGTGATTTATCGGCAATCATTTTATCATGTGAAAGGTTGCTGTCTAGATGATTTAGATAACTAGACAACACAAATGTAGGGGTAGATGTGCCTAAGACACAAACCAATGAATTATACTCTCTCCTAATGCACATAACCCTTGGCTTTCTTTCTCAGAATAGTTGCTCACAAATTACTGGCATTTAAGCGACATCAAACCCTTGTCAGCGATTGATTTTTTTTTAAATGTGCATTTGGAGTCTAAGTTAAAATGAACAAAATAAATGCTAATACAAGAAATGGACAGGGTAAAAAAAATGGCTTGTGACTTGTAGGATTTAAAATGCTTCTAAGCAGATTGTGAACATAGTGTTTCTCATTTGGTTTGACATTAAGAGGTAATGTTGCCACGGGCTGATGCAAAATTCATTGGGGAGAACCGATAATACATTCCTTTAAAATATTTTCCGGCTTTGCATAATTGATGACATTGGAAAAATACTGATGTGGATCAAAAGTTAATGATCATCTAATTTTCCAAAGAAGCCATTTTAGAAGTGCAGCAGATAAAATAAACTCAATTAGAAACAGCATTTATTTCTCAGATTTCACAGTCTAAAATGTGTCTTAGGAAAGAGACACAAACCTGGTAAAACATAATATAATCACTGTGGAATGTATCTAAATTCAGAAGGAACATATTTGTGTGACACAAATCCATAACACTGATATGAATAAACGTTTCAACTGTTAGAGGATCAGTTGGCCCGTCAACATTTTTGATCAACTACAATCTACAGTGCAGATCCACAAACCCACAATGATTTCAATTTGAAGCTGAACAATGATGCCCCCTTCACACATGTTATAAACCCTATTTCTCTTCCCCACACAGAGCACATTGAAATCACATTTCCCCTCGAAATATGCAAATGCAATGTACATCGTCTCCAATCAGCATGAGCCTCTAATCAGGCTAGCAGCTGTAGGCAGATGGCAGCTGTAAAATTATCCGTGGATGCATCGGAAGATTGCACAGCAGCAGAACAAGAAATGGATTTCACTTAGTAAGAACCATACTGAGCGAACAAGAGTGTGCGATGTGAGCACGAGGTCGTTTTGCACATTGCTTTCTGCATACGGTGGAACGAGGTAACACCTTAATGATTTGGACTGAACAATTGTGAATTTGTACAAAACGAATCATAGGCATGTCCCTGCATCCAGCGCGGCCACGTTCACAACACGCAGCAACCTTCCTACATAAGAGAGGAAGGGATCAGCTCGTTCCAACAAAATGACTGGAACCAGCTTGAATAACTTCATTCAAAGTAATTCAATTCAATTTCCTGAATAGTAACACAGGACAGAGTGAAATGGCTGCCTGTAGATGCTGCAGCCTTGTGAATACAGATATTCACTGCGGACCGCTGCAGTCTCAACGACTTTGACGAACAAGGATGTGCTGCCGGGTTCTGCACATCAAGAAACACATGTGCAAGCTCAAGATAACATAGATAACATTGCAATAAACCTTTCTATTCAACAGGCAAATAACACAGAATAAACAGAACTGTTGGCGCTTTAGCAACACATCTTGTTCCCCATGGAGCTTAACGGCCGTACAAAAAGGTTTTGGATCAAGCGCGACAGCTGAATACATGAGGCAGAAGTCAACGCTGGTACAATTCAATATTTAAAGTTAGTGTTTGGGCAGATTGTGCAGAGGCTGGTAAAGAGAAAGCACTCGTATTACGTGGGCTACTCACTATGTGATATACTGATTTACACCATTAGTGTTGTGTGTGTAATGTATTTTCATTATTATTAAACTCAAATATGTGCTCAAGTGTGACATCATTTTCTATTTTTTCAGTTGTTCCATTAATGGTCAGTGTTGGCAGAGGATGTTGTCAGCATGTCAATAGATAATGTCATATGTTTCATTTCAACGCTTCTGATAAATATGATGTGGGGAAATCAGATAATGTCAAAATAAGGAGACGTTTTTAGGGAATGCTTCTCCACAAAAATGCTTTGATCTCTAATAAAAAGGTTGTGTGGGGGGGGGGGGGGGGTGGAGGAGGGGGCGCAGCGCAGGAAATGACCCTGGAGCATTCAGATGGCCCTCCCATTACAGATGTTCAGTCATATGAGGCACATAACATTCCAGCGGCGTAACCTTGGCTCAGTTTAGTAAACTGGTGAAGTCTTGGATGGATTGAGGAACTTTGTTAATATCACACCGTATACTGGCGAGTCCCTGGGGCTACACATTTTGAGTGCAGCCTTTTCATCAGATGTGTCAGGCGGAGTGGAGGGGGGGTGTTGTGGGGGGGATTTGCCATGACAGCAAACATACTGTGTGCTCCACAGTCTCAACAGAGCAAAAAGATCACTTAAAAATTCAACTTCGAAATGTGGAGAGCCGGAGCCTTCATGGGACTTTGCCCATCTGCAGAGTGCCGTAACCTTTCTTGCCAAGGTTAAAACAGTACTGCGGCCTCGCAGATAATCTATCTAGTGGAGCAGACCGCACATGAGCGACTGACCAGAGGGGGGTTTAGTTTGAAGAAAAGAAGCAGCAACTTAAAAGTTTGTTGTAGTGGCCTATGGCGATATTATTATTATTTATATTATTTATGTCTAGTTATCTGAATTCATCCTATTAACAAGTATTGCCTGCAGCGAAAGCCTGATTGACCTCCATTGTAGTCAAAAAACAATTCAAACGCATGTAAGCCTGACTTTTGCACTGGTGACATGTGATGAACACGGGACACAACATTTTTGGGTAAATCCCAAAGCACAATTTATGAGGCTCGAAATTTGAGATGCATGAACGCATGCATTCAACCAGATGGAATATCCTGTGAAACTCCATGAACAATAGCAACTAAGTGAAGTGTCTTGGCAGCCAGCTGTGGCACCCGTGGTTAAATCCTGGGGCTAACAACACACCGTCTGCAGATGACTTGAAGATTAGAGATGAAAACGTTGTTCTAACCGGAGCCCTTTGTCAATCAAACATATTGATACCAACACTGCCCACCTGAGCCTGGTAACCCTTTAAGTTCCCCCCTCACCATTGTTTAGCTTTTGTTCTTATATGCAGGGCTGAACTGCTGAGAAACGGGATGGAAATAAAGTCTGATGTGCTGACGCATTAAGGAGACTTTTTAGGTCTTAGGTGGGAAGGTATTCTATTTATTATTTGTGGGGTGTTCATTTATAATTTCTGTGCATTTCTTTAATCCTCCCACTCATTTTCATATTCTTCCTGCAGTCAATGTTCTTACCGAAGCTTCTTTAATTGCAGCTTTTAAAGTCGTCTCCCAGCTTGCTTCTCTTCAGAAAAAGTAATTTCTAGTTTGAAACATCGTTTAGGTGCAACATTTCTGGTCGACTGGATGAATACTAGTACTGAGTACCCTGTCTATTGCCCGAAGTTGGCTGGGATGGACTCCAGCCCCCCCGCGACCCTGTGTGCAGGATAAGCGGTTTGACGATGGATGGATGGATGGATGGATGAATACTTTCATATTTCTATCACCTCTAAATAATCAATTGTACATAATGTAACAGAAAGGAGCCCTTCCTGTGGTATAATGTCCTGACCTGTCATTAATCGGTAAACCCAGTATATGTCTCAGCAGAGTACTACTTTAAAGTCACACTTACTGTTGTCTGCTGTTGGAGACAATGTACACATGTTGCCGGTTCAGCGCTTTGGGAAAATTGATTTAAAAAAAAGTTGCTGCTGTATTTTTTGGAGCTGGGGAGTTTGCAATGCCCTCAAGTCAGAATACCGAAATTATTGGCTGAAGAAAGCAGCTTTAGGCCGAGGTGAATCATTAAACAGCTCGTTGGGATTCATAATTTGTCAAGATAATGCTTTTCTCTATATTTCCTTCACCCACCATGAAATACAGGGCCAGTATTTTTTTATACGGGCAAAGAGCTTTGGATACCTTTAAAAATTTCAAAATATCTTTGCTATGAGTTAACCACATCTGTAAGATTAAATATGCTCCTAAAAGGTCCCATTTTCCAACCAAAAGATAGAAGGATCTGAGGGTGACCCATGACAGCTGCAAACCGTTTGTGGAAACAGTTTAAGACCCAACGTGTTCTTAAAGTAAATGTCAAAGCGCAGCTTTAGGGACAGCTGGATTTTTCCCTCACCAGATCTGCGCTCACCGCACAAGTCTTGTGCATGTGTGGTTTTTGTTTGTATTTTGCTGGTA